AACCCTTGCGAAAGTCAAGGTCCTTAGGTGAACAATTTGAAACATTAAATAGATAAATTTACATGCATTGTTATTTAAAACGTAACGGGACGTTTTAAGACAATATCAAGGACTTTAACAAGAAATACTGGCGATTGGATGTTGTGCTATTACAAGAGCAACTCCCGACCGATTTGATACAACTAATAATTTATTGTAAACTAGTAAAAAACTTCAAATATCATGTAAAATAATTACTCTAGTAATATTGTCAGCTATAGTATAACCGTAAATAATTGTTAGGCAAACCCAAAATTACTTATCAAACGCAATTCTACATAATATCCTTCGCTCTTCACGCCTGGTTGAAATTTGTTTATAATCGGTATTGTTATCTATCATTATTATTGATTATATGTTCTAATAATATACGGCAGTATAATTTTTTTATCCTCACGTATGTACGTAGATATCGTCCGTTCACATAATGAAAGGTACACGATGCCAGATCGATGGAGTAACTACGTCAGAGGCTTACGATTGGGTTTTTAATCGGAAACATCTGACGGTAAACGATCGGCCAATGTACGGGCACCTGCATGCGACCGATATTCGCACACGCTGTACCATTCTCTAAGTGAACAGACTATACCTACAATACTTACAAGGGTTGTTAATAATATAGGGTTGTTCGGAAAGTCATTTCGTTTCTTTTGTGGAAATGAAAGACAGTTTTCGTATAATAAACAAATACTTTATTAAATTATATATTGACCGTTCTGGTCCAACACCTTTTGCCATCTTTCTGGTAGTAGCATAATTCCACGCTCATAAAATTTTTGGTCTTTGCTGGCAAAAAACTGATCGAGGAGGTTTTTGACCTCCTCATTTGAGGTGAAGGTTTTACCGTCTAAAAAATTTTGGAGTGACCGGAACAAATAATAATCCGATGGTGCCAGGTCTGGAGAATATGGTGGGTGTAGCATTGTATCCCATTCAAGCTGTAAAAGCTTTTGGCGAGTGACCAAACTTGTGTGAGGTCTCGCGTTGTCTTGGTGAAACACTACACCTTTCCTGTTGATTAGTTCTGACCTTTTCTGTTGAAGTGCATCATTCAGTTTGTCCAGCTGATGACAGTAGACTTCCGAATTAATCGTTGTGTTATCCGGTAAAAGCTAAAAAAAAACGATTCCTTTAAAATCCCACCAAACAGACAGCATCACCTTTTTTTGGTGAATATCGGCTTTGGAAATGGTTTGAGCCGGTTCATCTTTTTTGCTCCATGACCTCTTGCGTTTGACGTTGTTGTATACAACCCATTTTTCGTCCCCAGTGATGATGCGCTTCAAAAACGGATCATTTTCGTGACGTTTGAGAAGCGAATCGCAGACGTCAATGCGGCGACACAGATTTCTCTCTGTGAGAACATGGGGAACCCATACATCGAGCTTCGAGGATAATCCCAGGCCTTTCAAGTGGTCATAAACTGTTGAATTTGATAAATTTAACCTCAATCCGATCTCACGTGTTGTTATTCGCCGGTTCACATCAACTAATGCCTTTATCGCGTCTTTATCAGCTTCAACCGGCCTTCCCGAACGTGGTGCATCTTCGACATCAAAATTGCCGGATCGAAATTTAGCGAACCAGTTCTGGCACTGGCGTACTGTCAACACACCTTCTCCATACACATCAGTCAATTTCTTTCTGGCTTGAACAGCATTTTTACCCTTTCTGTAGTAAAACAGTAAGATATGTCGAAAATGCTGCTTATCGCTCTCCATATTTAAAAGGGCACCAACCAAAAACTACTGCGTAGAATTAATTGGTATTTTTCACACACAAGCCTTGCTATATGAGCTCCCAAAGCATATAAAAATTATACGGCTTAAATGTGTAGTTGGGTGCAAAAGAATACAATTAAATCCTCTGTCGGGAAAAAACGAAATGACTTTCCGAACAACCCGATACCTAAATATCGAATGTAAGGGGCTCAAAAACTTTTCGTCAATACTGTAAACCATTATCAACATGTATTATTATTATTATCTGTTAGATATAAAAAAACTAACTTTATATCAATTGTGTGAATTTATTGTAAAATAACAGGATGAACGCCATTGAAACTGACAATGTAATAACAACTGTAACTAAAAAACCGAATGACTAATTCTTTAAATAGCCATACGTAGGATAATCGATTTTCCAATTTAATTAATAGAACATTCATAGCCATCATACTTATGATAAATTTAAGATAATGCTTGTATTCAAATTATTGCAAATGTGTACGTAAATCACGAACGCGTTGAATGCGTACAAATAGGCTTCAAAAATTACTGAAAAGTAGGATACCTTAAACCATACAAGTCTGAAAGAATAAGGGGACTGATCTGTCAAAAGGCTACGAAGGGAAGGCTGGATTAACTGAGTAACACGGTTTTTTACAGTTAAAAAAATTAAGATTTCTGTATTTTAGTGAGCCTAATTTTATGTAAAAGCAGATAAGCCAACATTCGTTGGTGTTGTCTTTACCTAAAGTAACTTAAGCAGTTTATACAATTAAATAAATGTATCTATTAAGCTCGGTTAGATTAGGTTCTTAAAGCTACTATACGTAAAGACAACAGGAACGCAGTGAGTAGTTACCCTTTCATATGTTTACAACAATTTGCACCTACAAAAAAAATAAAATAAAATTGCTTTGAAGCCGAATTAGGTCCATTTGAAAATCTAAGGACTTCGAATTAGCAATTACATAGTTCGATAGCAATTACATTCAAATCTATAAACATTTTAAGAGTGCTTCAAGCTTAATACTCTGCCTAGTACCCTTAAAGCTTTGCCCAGTACCCTTAAAACTTTGCCAAGTACTCTCAAGGTTTTGCCTGGCACCCTTAAAGCTTTGCCAAGTACTCTCAAGGCTTTGTCCGGCACCCTTAAAGCTCTACCCAGTAATTTCAAGGTTTTGTCCGGTACCCTTAAAGCTTTGCCAAGTACCCTCAAGACTTTGTCTAGTACCTTAAAGCTTTGCTGAGTAATTTAAAGGTTTTGTCCGGTACCCTTAAAACTTTGCCAAGTACTCTCAAGGCTTTGCCTGGCACCCTTAAAGCTTTGCCAAATACTCTCAAGGCTTTGTCTGGTACCCTTAAAGCTTTGCCTAGAACCCTTACAGCTATACTCAGTACTCTCAAAGCTTTGCCCGGTACCCTTAAGGCTCTGCCAAGTACCCTACTCAATAAAAAAACTCGCTTAGAACTTATTACCCCGAAATGAACTTTTATCGTAATCAAGTGTGTTATTTTAATTTTTTATAATCTCGCAATTTTATTAAAAAGAAAAACGTATGTAATAATAAAACGTTTTGTGAACTCATTATAATTGCCACATAAACAAACATGCATATTATCATCTAAAGACCTTGACCTTAGAGACTATATATCCGATTAGTGTTGTACCCCAATCTGTCAATGGCATTATTTTTAGCAAATAAGTAAAAAAGGCAAAATAAATTAACTAAAATCAAAATATACTTAATTTAAATGTGAGACAACACTTTTTTACGTCTGAGTTTACAAAAATAATTATTTGAAATTAAAATAAGTAATTTTTCTACTATTTTTAATAATCAAATCAATCCTGGTTTTTTAGCAATTTTCGTAATTTTGTTAATAATTAGCAGAAAAAGAAAGGCGTCTTTTTAATTTCAAATAAACAAACGATACCTTACAATGTCACACATGAATGTTTTGTTTTGATTTTCAAATGTCTTATCAACAGGCACCTTAATCTGACGTTCTATAAAAAAAATGTGATAGCGTTTTCATTTGTTATCAAAAGTTAACAAGTAAAACAACTGCTTGAAAAATTATTATCAAATATTAAAATTATATAAATATCAAATCAAATAGATACAATTTATTTAATTTGTTTAAGTGAAACAACCTACTATCTATTGAGATTAACCGTAAGCACAAATGGATAAATAAATAAATAATTAAAAGTAGTCAGCAAGTCTATAAGGTTATCAAGAAAGGGGTTTTTGAAGATTATCTAATTTATTTAGGATTTATTATACCTGCCACAATTTAACACCGGAAACTACTAATATGCACCTACTCAGGGGATAATTTTAAACAAATACGAAATGCATGAAAAATATACCCAGTGTTTTAAAAAAACTGTACCAATGTAATGGAGATCTATTTTTTAATTACAATTTTTTATCGTTTATCATTAGCAAGTTCATATTTTTAACTTAATAACTTATCGGAAGAAAGCACCTATCTACATAATAAAATGGAGCTTCAATAAAAACCAAACTATCATTGATTAGATTATATTGTATAACATGTCACAGAATTTTATTTCAAGTTATTACGTTTTTATATTATATTAAATTAACGACTGTCGTCAGTGGTATTATGTGTAGATACAATAACGTTATTAATTGTTGAATGAAACGTAATATTTCGTTTGTTTATCTTCCTTAAATAAGTAATAAAATTAATAAATATCCGTTAGCACTCACCATGGAAGCATGGGCTCGTATTATAACCTCAAATTAAAAGTACATTACTAATTACTTTCTTATGGCTTTTTGCCAATAATATTGATTGCATTTTTGCAAAACGATTACACACTAATGAGAATTAAATGTCTACGTGCTGCCCTTTCGTTCTAATTATTTAATAACGATTGTTGAGAGAATAATATTACAAAATCAGAATAGGTGGCCATTAAAACAAATTAAAACGATCGCAATATTCGAAAACCAAAAGTAACCAAATGTAAAACTTCGAGGACATTTCGAAACATTATTATTACTATATTTTAATCAAAATTAAAACGTACTGTACATTGTTCTACATAAATATGACCACAAGAGAAAGACATTTCAGTTTCTCAAATCGTTTTAAATTAAATATTGGTCATAACAAGAATTGACGTTTAATTTAACTGAGTCGCATTTGTTTCCACAAAAATCATACAATTAACAACGAAAATGATTATCTACTTACCGATTGTTGTTCCGTGTGTAACAGGTAGTTAATGTTAATAATATCCAACGTAAACAGCACTTCACCGTTATACGTACGTTCGACAAACTATCTACGCGATTTCTGAAAGCAGAATGAGCATTCAACAATGAATGTAAACGACTGCGCGCTACGTCCTACGTCCAATAATGCCAACCACGTCAAAGTACACGTGGTAATTGAGAAAAGCTCACCCACGCTTGCACACCAACCAGCTTTGATCCAAAGCCAGGATACGCTTGCTCCAATGGACACAATGTTTACATGTTTGCAGCATCTTCGCGTGGGAGTGGGGTGCCCGAGTATGACGAAGGGATGCATGAGGGGGTGTGTTCGGCGACTTGCAGGATACGCACGTGTACAGGGTGACCAAACAACATTGCAATTGCGATAAACAAATGTGGCACTCTCACTTGCAACAAAAGCTTCGTATCCACACCCCGTACAAACAATGATAGACATAGAGAGAAAGAGACGAAAAATACTTTGCTCGTGTTTACGATAAAGTTGTTTACATTTCGATAATAATAAAATAAATCTGAAGCAATCAAACGATTGTTTATTATCTAATAATTAAAAGCTACGTACGGAAAAGGTTTCGTGATCGTAAAACCCTCTTACTGCACTCGACTCTGTCTTCTGACCACTAAATGGTTCAGCTTAAAAGATCAACAACAGATTATGAAGCTTCAAAATTTGACGAACATAGAAAGACCAAATCACAAACCCAAAAACAAAACGTTCATGGTCTCATGGTCATCAATACCACGAACACACCTCCATCAGCTTCTGTTTTGGAAAAGGGTCACAATTTCGCTCCAACCCCTGCAATTCTACCTAAGGATTCCATAACCAGTGCGAAGGAATCAGCGATCCATAAATTCCAAACCTGCTCAGGATCTCCTCAAATCCTACATCTCCAAGGAACTACTATTGAGCAAGTAATCTTTGGAATTATCAAGGAACCGTCACTACCAGGTGACCTCAAACGCCATTTCAAACCGACTAACTTACGAGCACCACTACAGTACGGACTTCCCAAAATCAATGACCAGAAAGATCACTTAGGCCTAGAGTCAGCACCATTGGGTCAACAATATATAAGTTGACTACAATCAAATCGAAACAATTGGTCCCCTTCATAGGACACATAGAGACCCATATCAAGAACTCCACGCATTTCATAGAACGAATTGAGCACCTTCAGGTCGACCTGTTGACCTTCTCATAAGTATCAACGTTGAGTCCTTGCTCATCAATGTTCCTGTTCCTGACACTATCACCAACACAAATGAAAAGCTAAATGCAGATGGACAGCACAACGAGATAGCACACATGGCAGAAGCCTGCCATAGGTCAACGTACTTCCTCTTCCACGAGGAAATACTATGAACAAGGGGAAAGTCCAGGTATTGAATCCCCTTGTCTTTAGTTGCGACCAACATCTTTACGGAGTCGTTCGAACAGGAAATCCTGGAGAATACACCTTTGAAACCTAAATACTAGTTAAGATACGTTAATACACACTTTCGTCGTGTGACAGCACGGAGCCGAGAAACTAGAAGAAGAGTATCTACAAAGTTTCAATTCACATCATCCAAGCATCAAGATTCGAGCGGGAACACGAAGGAAAATTGACCTTTCTAGATGTTATGGTGCGTGGTTGATTAGGTGACACCTTGTTCCCCGGAAGTGTACCCATTCCTACAGATGTCTTGTAGGTAATTCTCATCATTATCCAGTTCAGAAACAGCCAGTGATCAACTCCCTGGTGCATACTGCCTTCGCTATTTGCGGAACAGAATCTTTAGGCAAGGAACTTCGTTTTGTTACTGTCACTTATCTCTACTAGGTACCGGAGGCGTGATGTTAATCGCACAATTTGGAAATATCTTTAGACCACCGAAGAAGAACCAAATTCTTTTCGTCAAAGGAGTCACAGACAAAAAGGGTCGAATTCTGCAGAAGAAAGGATCCAAGACAATCTTCAAAACTTGTAGTAAACGTACAGACCAGTTTTCCAGTGTGAAGGATGTTGTTCCACTGGAATTTGTGGGAGTCTACTGGATATAAAGCTCTTGTGGAAAAGTCAGTATCGAGGAAACGGGTAAATCCATCACGACAAGGATGACAGAACGACATCCAATTCAATCAGTAAATATGTTAGCCAGAGAGAATCAGTACCTCCCCAGGGTCATCAGGAGGTGATCCACAAACACCTGAACCATCTCAACAGGGAAAAGACGGGTACCACCTTAACACAGTTTGGAAACGGGTATTGAAACAACTGTTTAAACCACTGCCAAAAGATTCCGAGTCAGTTCAGCTCCAGTGTCAGAGATCTTGTTGTATCTACTTCTCCTAAAGATGTTCCTTTCGATAGGAGACAAAACTCGAACACTTTTGACATCACCATGAACCATCAAGGGGATTCCAGCAATACGAGGGTGGATTGATAAGTTTCCGGCCTAACCAAGAGATGACGCCACTAGGCCTACCTTGAGGTGACATTCTATAGTACCATCCTTGGATAGCTTGTAGCTATAGTTTCAGCCCGATCTCCTTGCTAGTGTAGGTTTGACAGCACGCTGAACANGGTCAACGTACTTCCTCTTCCACGAGGAAATACTATGAACAAGGGGAAAGTCCAGGTATTGAATCCCCTTGTCTTTAGTTGCGACCAACATCTTTACGGAGTCGTTCGAACAGGAAATCCTGGAGAATACACCTTTGAAACCTAAATACTAGTTAAGATACGTTAATACACACTTTCGTCGTGTGACAGCACGGAGCCGAGAAACTAGAAGAAGAGTATCTACAAAGTTTCAATTCACATCATCCAAGCATCAAGATTCGAGCGGGAACACGAAGGAAAATTGACCTTTCTAGATGTTATGGTGCGTGGTTGATTAGGTGACACCTTGTTCCCCGGAAGTGTACCCATTCCTACAGATGTCTTGTAGGTAATTCTCATCATTATCCAGTTCAGAAACAGCCAGTGATCAACTCCCTGGTGCATACTGCCTTCGCTATTTGCGGAACAGAATCTTTAGGCAAGGAACTTCGTTTTGTTACTGTCACTTATCTCTACTAGGTACCGGAGGCGTGATGTTAATCGCACAATTTGGAAATATCTTTAGACCACCGAAGAAGAACCAAATTCTTTTCGTCAAAGGAGTCACAGACAAAAAGGGTCGAATTCTGCAGAAGAAAGGATCCAAGACAATCTTCAAAACTTGTAGTAAACGTACAGACCAGTTTTCCAGTGTGAAGGATGTTGTTCCACTGGAATTTGTGGGAGTCTACTGGATATAAAGCTCTTGTGGAAAAGTCAGTATCGAGGAAACGGGTAAATCCATCACGACAAGGATGACAGAACGACATCCAATTCAATCAGTAAATATGTTAGCCAGAGAGAATCAGTACCTCCCCAGGGTCATCAGGAGGTGATCCACAAACACCTGAACCATCTCAACAGGGAAAAGACGGGTACCACCTTAACACAGTTTGGAAACGGGTATTGAAACAACTGTTTAAACCACTGCCAAAAGATTCCGAGTCAGTTCAGCTCCAGTGTCAGAGATCTTGTTGTATCTACTTCTCCTAAAGATGTTCCTTTCGATAGGAGACAAAACTCGAACACTTTTGACATCACCATGAACCATCAAGGGGATTCCATCAATATGACGCTGTTAGAATCCGTGAAATTTAGTCTCTTCAACAATAACAACACAAGAGCATCAAAAACAACAACTAAAACAAAAAGAATGTAATTTAATCTATTCGACATTATTTATTGTTTTAATTCTTGTAGTTTTTATTTTACATTAATTAAAAAATTTAAATTAAACATTTAAAATTGCCACCGCCTATCACTGGGTAACTGGGTTAGTAGGTCATTTAGCGATCATTTAATACTGGGTATGATAATAATCCTGGTAATCGATGAGTAAATCGTTGGAATGGAGTCAGAGTGGTGAGAGAGATTAAATTATTTTAAACAAATTGTTTTTATTTATTTTGGTATTAAACGGCTAAGTAAATTAGTACTATAAATCAATCAAATTATAAAGTTTTGTCTAGTAAAAACGAAAAGGAATTTGATATTGAACCATCAATGTTTAGGTGAATGGCAAATGATTATGCTATATCTAAATCCGTTCGGATTATGATAAGAAACGAAAAAATGAAAATTTTTCCTCTGAAAAACTACATAGACAGAAATTAAAAACGTAATCACTTAAAGATTAAAATTATCTAAATTAGTCTATAAATGTTAAAAATGGTATTTGAAGGGGGAAGTCAAATAAATCATCAAGAATTAGATTGTTCAACTGGTGGACTTTTGTCCATGAGTTCATAAATTTACAATTTTTAGAGGAGGTAGAAGCCATCACAATCACAATAATTTGGGGGTAGGCAGAAGAAGTTACCCGTTACGTCTCAAAATTTGAACCAGAATTGAGTTTATTAACAAAACCAATATTATGAAATGTAACACCTGGTGATTATAGTTATAAACATTAATCAAATTGCAAATTGCAAAAGCTTGAACTGCCTGGGCGTACCCATAGAAAGTCAATTTAACACCTGCTCTTGCAATTTTTATACTGTTTATGACCTTTCGGTGCAAATTCTTCGAGCAATATTGTATTTAGACTCGCAGGGTACCTCATTCTTGACATTTACCATGTATCCGTCGATTCGAAATGGCTTGGTTCCTTTTCTACTACGTCTAGGCATAGGCAGTAGATACTCGCCTTTTTAATCTACAATGTATTATACCCTTTTTCAATTTATAATCCATGTTGAATGTAAATTGCTTTCAAAATTACCATATCGACACAATAAATCATTAGATGAATATGTAGGCTGCTTCGCTTCAAAAGAGATTGTGGTGAATGCTCGTAGAAATTTGGTGGCGAATCTAAAACACAATTAAGGGTAAAATTAAACAAGGACTAGTAATTTCTCTTAAGAAAATGCGGTCTTGATCATCTCCTCAAGAAGAATTAAAGATCAATAAATATATGTACCTATTGGGCATTTTTAGCAACTGATTTCTATCAGGGTACGTCCATTAATAAACACTTTGGATTGCCTTCCCCTTGATGAGATAGTGAGACTTTGCCAGAATCCTCCCTTCTCCTTTCCTTTTATCTTCACTTCACTCGCATTGACGTTCTAAATACCTGTCAAAGATCATTGACGACCACATAAAACTAATTTTTGTATTACCCTATGTTATTTTCTTTACCCCTGACAATGTGTGTACAAAATTTCATGATAGGTTTTAACCGGGGCTTAGTTTTAAGGGTATCTTTTGGCCGCTTTCTTCTGTGTATGACCGCCCCCCCATCCAAAACCTTTGACCATATAAATAAACAGAAGCCCAACCTCCCTCCTATCTTCTACTCAA